GCAAATCTTTTCTCCATCTCCAGCACATAAATGGACCCAGGAAAGTTAAGGCAGAAAGACCTCCCCCTCCCCCAATTTGCTGGTTGAAGTGTGGCTGCCATGCATGGGGGACGGGCAAGGGGTGACATTACTGGAGAGGCATCAGGCAGGGGCTTAATTTTCACGGAAAGGGTGCAACAGGGTGGGTCATGGGGAGAGAGCAAAGGTGTACCGCCCACCACCCTCACCCCCTCTTCTGCCCACAGAGGGCTGCCTCCTCTGCCAACAGGAAGATAACTGAAAAGGTGGAGAGGGAATACAAACAATTTATGCAGGAGCAGGTACATCTGGCATGTCTGCGGGCTGGGATTGTGGGATCCATTCAGGGCTGGATAGGATAGCAGGGGTCCATGGGTGGAGAGTGGGGGACACTCGCTGTACAGCTCACACTGGATAGGAGGGGTGTGCATGCAGGGTGAGGAGGTAGCCTTAGCCTGGAGGGAAAGGGAGGGGAAGAGCTGGGTTTCTAAAGGAGCTCATAAGTGTCCTCCCGCCCGCCCCAGATGCCTGTCCTGAGTGACTGCTCTTGTGCTTTCTCGCTCTCTGTCTATGCATCTGTCATCGCCCTCATGGCTGATTCAACCAGCCCCAGGCCCAGAGCCTAGCCGTGACACCGCACGAGATGTGGCAAGCCCTGAGGAAGAAATACATGGAGCTGTTGCATGGCTGCCAAGGGGAACTGTGGGGTGATGAGGCCCAGAAAAAGCTTGTTCTGAAAGACCTGACACAGGAGTTGTTTAGGAAAAAGACGGCGTTCTTGGATACCTACCGGGACACATACAAGGCATGGCTGGCTTGCTATCCCACGGGACTGCGCACACTGGCAGCCCCCAGGGAGTAGTGGGGGTATAGGCATCAGGGCAGGGATGGGGGAAGGACCATGGGGCTCTTGCTAATTTGGATGCTCCATGTGTCGAGTCAGAGGGTCCGAAGCTAAGGGGCAGCTGGGTGATCAGAGGAGGTTAGACGAACACCTAGCCGGGGTCGTTTGACCCCAGTACTTTTTCCTGCCATGGCAGGGGGTCAGACTTGATGATCTCCTCAGGTCCCTTCCGACCCGACCAACTATGAAACTGTGGCTTGTCAAACCTCAGTAATTGGCTCTCCACCCAAAATAATTGCCCACCCCTGGTTTAGACTATGGTTATATGGGATGGTTTGGATAGGGATGATCCTTTCTCAGGCACGGGGTTGGACTCAATGACCTCTAGAGGTCCCTTCCAGCCCAACTTCTATGGCCTGGCGGGGAGGCTGGAAAGCCAGTCCCATCCATCAAGTGTCTCTGGGACATAAAGCATGGATCCCTTATGTTTGCCATCCAGATGTGCCCCTTGTCTTTTTTCCTCGAATGACTGCATAGAGGGGTAGATGGATAGATGCGGGGGGTATGTATAGGATGAGAGGGCTCCACTTTCATGTCACCCCTCCTAGCTCCCCGTGCACCGCAGCTGGGATACAAGGTAGGGGAGAAGAACAGTGTGTGACTGGTTCTAGGGACCCTAAAGCCTTGTTCTCAGGTCAAAAGCAAACCTCAAGAGGACCAAGGAGGGTCACCTCTGTCTCCCCCACATCTCTTGATCTGGGATACAAAATTGTCCTTTTCCAGCAGACACAGGGACCCAAGAGAAGACCAGGAAAAAACTGGCTCCCTCCACTTGGCTGGTGGGTGCGTGGCTGCTGTGTGTGGTGGAGGGAAAGGCCAGGAGCGGGGACTGGTTACAGAGGAGATACAGAAGGATGTGCATCATGGAGTCCCTGGAGAGGCATCAGTCGTAGGCTTAGTTTTCATGGAAGGGGTGGGGGAGAAGGGGGTGGGAGGCAGTTACGACTCCATGGTGGTCCCATAAACATATATGACCCTCACCCCCTCTTCTGCCCACAGAAGACTGCCTCTTCTGCCAACAGGAATATAATTGAAAAGGCCAGGAGGGAATATGAGAAATTTATACAGGAGCAGGTACGTCTGGCATGTCTGTGGGTTGGACTTGAGGGATCCATTCAAGGCTGGCTCTGATAGCAGGGGTCCATCGTTTCAAAGTGGGGAACACCATCCATGTGGGAGAGCCCAAGGCTTGGCAGCAGGGTCCTGCTGATGGGTAGTGAGAGGCACCAGCAGTTTGTTCCTCTGAGCACCACAACTCTGCCCTTACTTATGACCCATCTTTATTTCTCTCCTTTCCTGGCATATCCATCAGTTAAAAGACATTAAGTCCAAGTTCAGTATCTTCTTGTGGTCAGTCAAGGAAAATCAGGATCTTGTGGAGAAGAAACACCAGGAGTTGCTGCACAGCTACTTGAAGCAGCTGCAGGGTGAGGAGTTTGAGAAACTTATCTCCACGGAGAAGCTAAAGCAAGAGCTGGCAGAGAAGAAGAGGAACTTCAGAGAAGAATCGGATGAGCTGTTTCAGAAAGCCCAAAACAACCGTGCTACCGCAAAGTCAGGTCTCAAAGTAGTGGGAGCAGTGGTGGCCACGGTAGGTGCAGTAGCTGCAGTAGCTGCAGTCACGACAGCCAATCCTGCATACGCATTATCAGCAGCAGTTGCCTTATTTCAACGGGTCATAAGATAAAGGAGCATACGCCGAGACATACAGCCATTCGAACACTCAGAAGTATGGTGGGGAGGGGTATTCGGATACAGAGCACCTATTTGCCCAGGAACAGAGTGTAAGCGAATCCTCCTTCCCCCCCTGCCCAAATCCAGGAACAGGCTTTTCGCACCCCTGGCCACGGGGGATTTCATGGATGAAAATCTGGGTAGGGAGAGAGATCTCAAGGGAATGTAGATTTTGGCTGAGTAATGCACATGGTGATTGTCGGGACCTTATCAAATCCTCCATCCGCTGAGACTTGGAAAACTATTTCGTATTTCCACCAAATGAATCAGGAGCTCCCTGCTTTCCTGCTCCCGAGTTCTAACCAGTGTCGAAGCACCGAAGTTTGACAACCGGGGCAAAGCCCGCAGCGGCACATCGCCCTCATCCCACACACAGATCCAGGGGGGCACAAGCCCCCTCCCCATGCTTGCCAGGACTGCACACAGCAACAGAAACCACCCTTCCCCCATTCCCAGGCCTCCCAAATGAGCTGCTCACAGCTCTGTCCCATGTCCCAACCCAGCTGGGCAGTGCCTATTGGTGCCCCCTTCACTTTGGCTCCAGGGCGGTTGCCCCGCTCAGTTCCCCCTTGCTACGGCACTGGTTCTAGCCCCTTGCCTTGTGCTTTGCTCTACAACTGCTAACAAAAAAGCCTGGGATGGGGCGCTTATAAAGTGTTGTCACATGTTTATCCAGCCCCCATGTTCATCCAACCCCTCCCCACCATACTAATGACTGCGGTAACAGGGAATTTGTGTAGAAGTCACCTGAGTTTGCTCCTTTCCAGTGATCCACCCTGCCCCACCCCTGGCCATTCAAAGCATCCAGAAGCGCTGTGATACTGCTTCCCGACCCCCTCCCTCTGGTGCTGACAGCCCCATAGCTTGGAGTGGGGCAGGGGCTGGGAAGAGGGGTGATTTGGAGGCTGCTGGAGCACCTTTGCCTGATGGCCAAAGCTGGTGCAGGAAGGCTCCAGCCCCCGGCGGCCCAACAAGTGAACATCTTGGGTGGACATGGCTGGGGCGGCTCTAACTCATGGCACTTTAATGAAAGCACCATGAGTTAGAGCAGGGCCCTGAACCTGTAGGCACCCACAATGTCAGAGGTGGGAAAAATTTTAAAAAGCATAAGAAAGACAGGTAAAAAAATAAGGTAAACTTTACTTAAACGTTTTATAGTTGTGACAGCTGGCTCAGAACAAGATGTAGCTGGGAAAGGCATATTCATCCTAATTAGAGTAGGACCTATTTTTATCCCCTATTGGGAATATTTTTTAATAGCCTTATTTCGTAAGCTTTGTGATATTAAACCAGACGGAGTAATAAAAACCTGAGTTCACCTCACAATCTTCACTCTTCAGTCCTGACCTGTGGTTGTTGCTGAACAGCCCATCTGCAGATGCGAAGATAAGAGCTCTGTTAAAACTTAATTGGAAACTTATGGAAGACGTCTTTTTCCCTGAACATGCTGGCCACCTACTGGATGCTTTTTAAAATGGTGGGCTGAAAATTCTCCCAAATGTTAATGAGATTTTTATTTCTTTAGAAGAATATGCGTTTTATACATTACAATCATTTGTTTGACGAGCCTGATCTGTACCATTTGGTTATTTAGATCTTATCTGTATTTCATTATGAAATTTGACATTAAAATTTACTTTCATTTATGTTTGTGACTATTACATTTTGGTGGGATGGGTCTGGATAAGACTGATTCTGCCTTAAGCAGGGGTTGGCCTGGATGTGACCTCCAGAGGTCCCTTCCAGCCAGACTTTGCCATGAGTCTGTGACTGATCCCTGTGTGTGACCCCGCTGCTAAAATATATGCTGACCATAGTTGTCATGTTTCTCTTAAGCGATTTCTTGTTCTGCTGCTGGCTGCCTAAATAGCACTCTAGATGGAGTGCCTGCAACTATAACCATTTCCCACTCCATGCTTGAATCCCATGGTGGGGCATCACCCACATCCCAACAAAGGGGCATGTCTGGAAGTCTTACAGATGCGTGTCCCAAATCAAAGAGGGGCACCTGGGGCCCTTTTCTCCCAGGATCAGGGCCCTGAGAGGGGCATGGGACTGACCCTGGGGGCCAACAGCCCCAGGGACATCTGTTACACCTCCATGAAGTGGATCAGTTGTGCCATGACATATTGCAGCACAGCTGATGGTGCGCCAAAGACGACTTCTGTCTCCAGCCTGCTTTCTCTCTCTTCCATCCCCTGCCCTTCCTGCGTCGCATGTGTTTTTTCTGGTCCTCGACCATGCAGTCGGAGCGTCCCACCCCCCTAACTTAACAGTGACTCTTCCTTGTTCGTAAATCTCCCGACCATACTGACCACGTCCAGCCTCTTCCTGCCCCCCTCTCCCCCGCCCTTGGCTGGGTGGAGATGCAGTAAGTAATAGAGTATACTTTCATTTTCATTTCCCAGGCAAAGGTTTCCCTTCGAAGAAAGCAAAGCAGAGCACTGGGACAGGTAATGGATCAAATGAGAGGGTAGCGTGCTGGTTGTAGCTGTCTTGGTCTAAGGACATAGGCAGACTAGGTCTGACTCGCTGGGTGAAGTTGTTCTTTGCCAGCTTTCAGGCACAAACAGCATTCTCCAGCCAGAGACAAAGTCTGTTGGTGTTTGTGTGCTTTCCCGGGGAGAAAAGAAACAGAAATGTAGCATGAAGGTCTATGAAGATGCAAATGTGTGGCAGTAAGAGTCAAAGGAAACGGGAGACAATCGGTGTGAAAAGGTAGTTTGGGGGAGGGGGGAAGGGGGAGAAGGCAATGCAATGCAGCTGGTAAAATGCAGACAGGTTACCTGAGGTTATCAGAGGGCAGGCAAGTTACAATGCACCATAAATCCAATGTCTGTGTGGGAGTAGGGTACTGTTGGGACCCTGCACGGGTGGACTTTTCATCTCAGCCCTGGAATAGAGGCAGACCTAGCAGAGCAGAGTTGTGGGAGCAGCGGGGCAGGATGCCTGGGTCCTCTCCCAGCTCTGGGAGGTGAGCGAGAGCGGAGTGGTTAAAGCAAGGTGAGCTGGGAGCCAGGACACCCCGGTTCTTCCCCACCCCTGGACAGTGAGTGTGGTGTTTTGGACTAGGATAGGGGGCTGGGATCCTACATACATGTGCTTCTCTATGTCCAGTGATGCTCCATGCTGGCTGGTTTGTGTGCATGTGCCTAGGGCTGTACTGCTGGACTTACTGCGTGGTGTATCTGCGTGCTTGCATGACTGTGTGTGTCTCTCTAGTACTGTATCGATCCCGTGTATGCGTGTGGAGTTTGAGGGTGAGCAGGGGCAAGACATGCAGCAATGCCTTGTGATCTCCCTTTGGTGTAGTGCCTACAGGAGGAGAGATTGGGCTCTGCTTGGCTAGGCCCATGACCTGGGGCATCCTGGGGATGTGTAAGTGCTCAGGTCCGACCCTAGCCCAATGTCCTTCCATGGTGCTAGACGGGCTGCCGTGAGATCTAGATTCCCCCTCCCTGCTCCCTTCAATGTCTTTCTGTTCCTTTGCGTGTTTGATATTTTGCTTTCTTACTGGGTTGCCCAGCAGTTATTAGGACACTTTCTCCCATACTGCTTTTCACCACCATAACTTACTATAGCTCAGGGTAACTCTGGCCTAGCATGACCAGAACTCCTATACCAACATTTGTGCACCTGGGACTGGGGTATGTTTGACATGTGGCTCAGGAATACAGTGCAAGAAAGCTGAGAGACCCCTAAGGGAGGTGACAGAGTCAGTGAGACCACATGGATTGTAAGGCTGTGCGAAATTTCACCGGCTGTTTTGTTTCGACACTGTTTCGGCTCATTTGGAGCTCGAAACAGCAAAATTGAAACGAAATGAAGGGTTTTGAAACAGCCACGAAACGAAATGAGGGCAGTTGACACCTTTCCAAAGTTCAAAACTATTCGAGTTGCAAAGCAGCCAGCCAGGTGGTGGGAGACAGGGGAGAGCCAGGGCTGCAATCAGGCTGGGGAAGGGAACTCAGCCCGACTCAGTTCCCCTCCCTAGGGCTGAGTTCCCTTCCCCAGCTCCATCGCACAGCTGGGGAGGAGAACTGAGCCGCGTGGTGGGGAATTGTCTTACTCCCTCAGGTGGTAACAGGGCGTCCCCTAGAAACCATGGCTCCAGTGCCGATTGTGAGAGTGGATGAGGAGGGGCACCTGGCCCTGGATGAGGGGGTCCTGCACCACTGCCTGGAGCAGGGGGGTGTGGGTGATGCCCCCGTCTGCCTTATCTCCATCATTGGGGAGCAGCGCCAGGGCAAATCCTTCCTCATGAACTACCTGCTGCGCCGGCTGCAGAACCAGGTGAGTGAAGACACAAGCCCCCAAAGCCTGAGCACTACCCCAACATCCCAGGTCCCACCCATCCTACAACATGAGTTAGGACCCCCTCCCACCCTCCACCCTGAGCTCTGGCCTATAAAGGAAGCCTACCCTCATAGGCGACACATAGGGGGGGCACGTGCCCCCCCTAAAATTGCCCACCACTGATGCCTTCTGTGCCGCCTGCATCACCACTTGCCACTCCCACCCCGCTCCCACACTGCCATGGCCTCCTGCAAGTGGTCCCTGCTTGGCCCACCCTCGCCGCTGATGTCATCATGGCTGCCTGCAGGTGGTCCCCACTTGCCGCCAACAGTCCCCCACCACCAACACCATCGCCACTACCTGCGGCCATTTGTCATGCCCACCTTCCCCCGCCCACCCTCTGGTTATGCCGCTGATCACAACTACGGGCACAGAGATAAAACCGCTGCAATGCAAGCCATACTCACCCTACATCCCAGACAGCAACCAGGCACTTGCCCCTGTCCCTTTCCAGCACCCACCCCTCAGCTCCATTACCACAGCAGCCAGGGTCTGATTCAGCATCCCAGGGATGCCTCCTCACAGCAGGCTCCACCCCTTTCACCCCTTGAGTGTGGTCCATCCCTACAAGAACTAGTCCTTGGACCATGGGGATCTCCCCTGGTGACCCCATCCAACTCAACCCCTGTAGGAAATCCAGGATGCATCATGGATGGGCCAGGAGGACCAGTCTCTGGAGGGGTTCCAGTGGCAAGGAGGGGACAAGACTGTGACCAAAGGAGTGTGGATATGGGGTGAGCCCTTCTGGGTCCAGGGCCAGCATGGTAAGGTAAGCCGTGATCAGGAACGGAGGCTGAATGTGGGAGAGCTTGTGGTTGGGACTCCCTTATGGAAAGTCTTAGTCATGAACAACTCGTGCACCCAGAGGCTGGGGGATCATGGCGACCACCCGCAGGCAGCAGTGGCGGTGTCAGCAGTGGGGGCATGGCAGCGGCAAGCAGGAAGCTCCCACAGGCAGCCTCGGTGGTGTCTGTGGCGAGGGTGGGCCAAGCAGGGAGTTTCCACAGGTGGTCGCAGTGGTGTCAGTGGTGGGAGGGAGGAAGTGGCGAGCACCAACTGGTGGTCGATGCCGGTGGTGTCTGCGGGTGGTCAGTGTCGGCAATGGCCAGCAGCCATCAGGGACCACTGGGATGCTGCCAGTAGTTTCAGCAGCGAGGGTGGGAGGTGGCGAGCAGTGACCACCCACAGGTGCCACCAGAAGCATCAGAGGTGCTTTTCATAGGGGGTGCACCACCAATCTCAGGAGTGCTCATGCATCCACATGCACCCCCTACTCATCGCTAATGATCTTAGTGGGACTGGGAATAGTGGGAAAATGGCCAAGTGGTGGGAAGCGGGTCCTGACCTCAAGACCAGCCGTGGCACCTGCTAGCAATCCCATTTATCTTGCTTCAACCTCCAGCCTTCCCTAACCTGCTGCTGCCTCTCCCCTGGCACACCTTAGTGTTAATGTGATTCACCTGGGGAGGCTGCCGTTAAAGGTTAGCGTATCTTCTTCACTGTCCTTCCCCGTGGCTCAGTCCTTAGGGCTTCTCCACCCCCAAACTCAGTGCTCAGGTTTCTCGCTAGCCTTGCCCCCCCATGTCTATCTAAGGTGTACTTCCCTCAGGGCTTCCCTGCCTTATCCATCACTTGTAGTCCCCACAGCCCCTAAGTGTAGCTCCCTGTCCCATTTCATACCTAGGGGGCTATAATCATGGGTTCCAGCTGCCCATAACCACACCTACATACTGCAGGTATTAGCTTTCATTCACTGGCTGTCTTTACAGCAGCACACCAGCCCCCAGGCCCTGGCCTTTGCAGGATGGTTCCCTCATTCTCACAGCCCTCTGGGTTCCTAATCCTGGCAGGGTTGCTTCTACTTGTTCACAGCCTACCCATCCTCTGACCCTCACCAGGCTGAAAATACTGGGTGTCTCCCAGTCACCACCTGTGGTCTCCAGCTTCCCCCTAGGCCCAACCTAAAGGGTATGTCTACATGACATGCTTTAAGGTGCATTAGCCTAAATTAAAGTGAACTAGAGTGCACATCTACATGTGCATGCCCTTAATTCACTTTTAAAATGGTGATTTGGAGCTATTCAAACCTAAATTTGATACCTGCAAATACAGGTATCCATTTGAGGCATTAGTTAAAATGCATTAACACACATGTAGTTGCATTAAAGCGCATTCACACATACACAGCATTAATGCACTTTAATGTAGACACCTACCTAAACCTGCTTAATGAGCATTAACTTAATATGCATTAAATTTAGGCAGGCTTAAATTCATGTGTCGACGTGCCCAGACTCCAGTAGGCAAAATACAAACCACTCAGTTGCAATTCAGACACAAACGCCTCCTTGGGTCTCTAACCGCTGCTGCACTCCTTCTCTAGGAAGCTGGCTTATTTCCCAACTGCCATAGTATGTCCCTCCCTTCCTTCCTGGCAGTCAGGTCTGCCCCTAGATCCTCCCCCTGCCATGGCAGAGTATCCATGGCAAAGACCAGCAACCATGGCTGATCTTACCATTAGGCCACAGGGCACACTGGTTCAGAGCTCCTCTCCACAGTCGTGCCAGAGAACCATCCACGTGTCTGTCTGTCCCTGCAGGTGGCCGTGTTCCTGGTGGACACCGAGGGCTCCCTGGACCTGCAGCGTCACATAGAGATCAGCATCAAGCTCTGTGTGTTCAGCATCTTGTTCAGCTCCCATCAGGTGTGGGTGCACGTGTGGGTGGAGGGATACAGTAGGGCTTGCTGTTCTGCAGGGCTCACATGGGGTGGGGGGAATATCAAACTCCAAGAGGCTTGGCATGGGGTGCTGTGCTGCAGGTGTAGGGCATGATGGGGCTGCCAACACAGGGTGCAGTGCAACAGGGAGGCGAGTGGGGATTAGGGAGGGGTGATTTATTCCTTGTTTTGGTTCTGTTCCAGATTTTTAACATTTGTTCAAAGTTGAAACGGACAGATCAGGATTATTTGGAGGTGAGCCCCTCTGCTGTAGGTAAATCTTATTTTCCTGGATGGACAAACTGACTGCAAAGATCAGGTAAATCCCAGGTACGCCGGGAAAATTATAGAAGGAATTGTGCTTGCTCTGGATGCATCACTGCCCCATTTATTAGTATAGGGCGGAGCTAGGGAAGGAGACGAAGAGCGCAGAGTAGTGGAAAAGCAAGTTAGGGGTCACTTAGAGAAGCTAGATGCTTTCAAGTCGGGAGGGGCAGATGGGATGCACCCGAGGATACCGAAGGAATTGGCTGAGGTCCTTTCAGAGATGCTGGGTATTAGGACCATGCAAAATTTCAACCGCCGTTTCAGTTCGGCGGTGTTTCAACCATTTCAACACTCAAAACTCTGAATCTGAAATGAAATGGGAGACACATCAAAACATTCGAAACGAAACAAGTCGAAACGTCTCGAAAATGTTTCGATGTTTCAAAGATGTTTCAAAGCTGGGCTTGCAGGGAAGTAAGGAGAGACAGGGGGGGAAGTTGTGGGGACAGAAGGACATTTGTAGCTGGCCAGTGTCTGCCAACTGTCCCCGAGGTCCTTTCCAATCCCAGTGCTCCCCATCATCTTTTTATGATGTGTTGTTTTGTTCCCAGGCCTTGTCCCTTGTTTAATTATATTTTGTTAAACATGTTGATGGCTTTTTTTTTTCTTTGCTGAACAAGCTAGTTGTTGCATCTGGAAAAATATACAGAAGGACATTTGTAGCTGGCCAGTGTCTGCCAACTGTCCCCGAGGTCCTTTCCAATCCCAGTGCTCCCCATCATCTTTTTATGATGTGTTGTTTTGTTCCCAGGCCTTGTCCCTTGTTTAATTATATTTTGTTAAACATGTTGATGGCTTTTTTTTTTCTTTGCTGAACAAGCTAGTTGTTGCATCTGGAAAAATATACACCACAGTCGCTCAGACATGGGCTTTTGGGGCCTACAGACATGGGCTGCCTGTATACATGTTTGGTGGGGGTGGGGGCACATTTTAATTCAAGTGGTTCCTGGGGAGCTGCTCTAGTTAAAACACCTCACTGTCATGTGTATAAACCCCAACAGATTTAAAATTGGCTACAGGGGTGCTGTATCTAAATCTTGTTGAATGAGGTTTAGATAAAGCACCCCAGCAGCCATTTTTATATCTGATGGGGCTTATAAACATGATGATGAGGCCACACTGGAGCGCTCTAACTGAAAGGCAGAGCAGACTCAATTAATCAAGTCTGCTCTGATATGTCCTAATTAGAAGGTCAACCAGCACGTGTATAGCCACCCTTGGTGTCTAGCTCCAGAGCAAAGCATGTTGAGGAAGGGGACTCCCTGTAGCTCTGCCTTAGATATACATGGTATCCAGATATGTACTTCTGGAGTGGGCTTTATTGCCAAGTGCCACTCAGTATACTGGCTCTGGTGGGTCCTAGTATGTGCCTTGAGGCCCTGGGGCCAATGGTTTCTACAGGGGGGCCCAGGAACCTCATCCTTGCTGCTCTCCCCTTTACAGGTGTTCCTTCATGTTGCAAAAGAAGCTGGAAAAACCTGCAATCTGCACCCAGTTCAGGTGAGCCCTCCCCATCTCCCCCGGATCATGATAATGCCGCGCCCTGACCCACGTCACACCTGGTCTCTGCACTCACTGTGCGTCAGTGTCAGTGTGACAAGTTGAATTGTGTTTTTTAACTCTCACCTTTTCACCAGGACTCTGTTTCCTACTGAGCCCCCGCTATGGCGCCAAGCTACTGGCATGTGTCCTCACCCCCACCGTGACCCCGCTCTCTTCCCGTCTCTTTTGTAGAAGCTGGACCTGCTGGTCCGTGACTATCCAACCTCTTCTAACTGTGGACTGGAGGGAGGGAAGAGGTATCTCAGCCATGTCATTCAGGTAACCAGGAGCGTGGGCCACTTGTCTTCACCGAGTCACGTGAACCAGCCCTTAGTCTTCCAATTGTTCATATGAAGCTTTCACGGCAGGAGTCATTTCCATCCTTCCTGCCTCCCTCCTTCCTTCATTGAAGAAGAAAGAGCGTTTTCCCTTCTTCCGCAGGAGCTGGAGGCTGCTCCTGACGGCTCCCTGGCCCTAGAGACACTGGGAAAAGCCCGCTGTTATCTCATGCCCCACCCTGGCAACAAGTTCACAAACAGCAGCAATGGGACGCTAGCTGGTAAGAGACCCTGGCTTTGCTCCGCGCCTCCCCCCGCCCCTCCCTGCATCTCCCCTACTCGTGCTCCCCCTGCCACAAGCCTGCCTCCAGGGTGAAGACGAACTCTGACGCCCCTTCCACAGATGATGGACCTGCCCTGAGGGACCAAGTGGCCACAGGGGTGATGGCCCTGAGGGATAGCTAATATAGACGATGGATAACATTGCTTCTCCCCGTTACAGTTTCATCGACCAACTTCCCCCATTCCTGCCCCCAATTGGGACAGTCTGGAGTTGATCCCTCCACAAACTGTGGTCCTTTCTCCCCTTGCAGACATGGATGAGGCTTTCAGGGTCAGTCTGAGAGACTATGTCGCTGGGCTGGCGAGCGAAGCTGGGACCTGTGTGCGGTTGGACCAGAAAGGACAAGCCCTCACAGGGAAGCAGCTGGCAAGCAAGATCCGGGTGAGGGACCAGCTTGCTAGGCAGGAGGGTCAGAGAGGGGCTTGGGGTATGGTGTGGTGGACTATGACTGGCCTCGATGACCCTGTGCTGGGCTGGGAGGAGCCGTGCTCCTGGGAGCAGGCTATCAGCCCCACTTGGGGCAGGGGGATGCAGGGAGCAGAGCAGAGACGCTGGTTGGGAGCACTGGCATGATAATGCCATCCGAGGTGAGTAGCTGTCGTGCAGCATCGCCGTGCAACTGCCCTCCCAACCGTCCTCCACCACGAGGAGCTGCAACTTGGGGAGCAGGGATTTATCCAGGCATTGATCTCTCCTTAGGACATCTCCAAATACCTGAGGGAGAAGAACTATCACTTCTCTTCTCTCACAAAGGTATTGGACCTCAATCCTTTCCCCCTCCCCCCCAAAATAAACTTCCTGTGCAAGATTGGGCAAGAGGGTGCTGGGTAGAAGTTCATTAATGATGAGGGCAAGGAAAGTGAAAACTGGTCCCAGGTTCTCAAAGCAAATCATCACTTAAGTGACCAAAAATGCCACCCACCGTCTGGTCCTCCATCCCCAGTGCACAGGGGCATGCCAAGAAAGCACTGACTGAGAAGGAACCCTCTCCATTGGACTTGTAGCATAGCCGCGGTGAGCAGGAGGTGACAAAAATGGGGAAAGGCAGCTCCAGAAGGAATGGGAGGGACATCTGAATAGGTGAAACCTGGGGTATATTTTTGGGGAACATTGGGGCAAGATGGATAGCAAGAGCTCTTAACTCCAGGCTCATCCAATGGATGTCCACCATCCCATCTACTCTTCTACCCACAGATGACTGAAGCTTTTGCTCAGATCAGAGAAGATCTAAATAAGAAAACAATAAAAAACATCATCATGGAATATGAAAAGTTTACCCTGGAGCAGGTGAGTGCAGGGGCTGTGAGCCAGGAGTGAGGGGCACTGACAAGGGTATGTGTATCTACAGGAGGCTCCTGAGTCTTCCCTTCAGGTTGCCTAACCCCAAAGACTTCTCTATGTCTCTCTCTTCCCCCAAACCCCTTATTGCAATCAGGACTGCGACACCCAGATTGAAGCCCAGTGCCTGCAAGTGCCCCCCGATCAGATGCAGCAGCTTCTGGAAGAGAAACACCAGCAGTTGTTGCAGGACTGCGCAGGGGAGCTGCGGGGAGAGGAGGCCCAGAAACAGCCCTTCCTGCAGGAGCTGGAGCAGAGGTTGACAGAGAAGGAGAAGGCCTTCGTGGACACATACAAGAAGAAATACAAGGTCTGGTTGATTTGCTGCCCCACAGGGCTTGTGGGAGGGAGGGGATGCCCTTTACCAGGGAAGTGAGAGGCATCCATCATAGCAGCGCAGCAAGGATGAAGCTGAGGCTTCAGGTTTCATGTGAGATGGTCCAAGGGCTAAGGCCCAGATGTGTTTTTCATGTCCATTTGTGTGGAGCTGAAAAAGTTTTGAGGCTGAAAGGCAGTTGGGTGACGGAGAGGTGCATTTGGGTCAGCATCTGCTGGTATTCACAGACCAAGCGCTGAGGCTGACTGCCCTGCACTCACTGGGGCAGAGCCTCTCTCAGTCCTGAGTGCTGGGGACTCTGGGTACATCTAAATGTGCTGGTTTAAGGCGCTCTAGCTGTTTTAAGGTGCATAAAGGGCACGGGTCTACACCCTTAAAGCACCTTTAAAATGGTGATGTTAGGCTAATCACACCTAAATTTGATACCTGCATAAAGCAGGTAAAACATTTAGGCATGACTAACTAAGTCGCACTAGCCTACTGCATTAACGCAGTATTCATCAGTGAACTCACGCCGCGATAGTGCGTATTAGTGCATCTACACGTGGGCTAATGCAACCTAGCTGTTCATGCCTAAATTTACTGTGTCTTAAAGCGCATTGGCATGTCTACATGTAGAGACACCCAAATTGCCTTAGTGCACCTTAAGCAAAAGCGCGTTAAGTTTAGGCGCATGTAAATCCATGTGTAGACTTGTCCGCTGTTTGCGAGCAGCCAGAGAGATGGCAGTGGTGTGGGAAGAAATGTTCAGAGGGGTGAAATACTGAAGAGGTGGATGGGAAGAGAAGTGGAAATGGGGCATGGAGACTGGATGTGGATGGATTTACCCCCAGGCTGATTCAGTCAGCACCCAGGATCAATGGGGTGATTGTGCACTTACGCCAGGGTCACTGAGACTTGAATGCCACCCTGACCCCAGTGATGTCCCTCACTGAACAGCGCTCCATGGCTCTCCAGTCCCAACCCTGTTCATTTGGCCTTCATTGCCAATGCCTGAGAAGGGACTGGAGAGTGTGCACTGAAGTGGTGTCATCTGATCATCTAAGTGCTGAGCCTATGGTTGGCCCTGGGGTGTAGCACTGAGCTGTGTCCAAAGCACCAGGGGAAGCAATGTGTTGTAAAACCATCATGCATCTGAGCAGAGCAGTTCATCTGGAAACAGGTGGCCTAGGAGAAGTCAGCTGGGTATTTAACACCTAGATGTGTCCCATTGTCTGTATTCCTTGAACGGATGCATGGAGGGATAGATGGACAGACAGGGAGACATAAAGAGGCTCGGAAGGGGCTGACCCTACAATCACCCCTCCCCGTTCCCAGCAATAGGATAAATGATGAAGAAGAACAAAGTGAGGTTGGTCCTATGAACCTTTGTTCTCAGAGTAAAGGGAAAAATCAGGAGGAGTCGGGGGCAGTCACCTCTCCATCCCCAACATTTTCTGATGAAACCAAATCTATTCTCCAGCTCCAGCACCCAAATGGGCCCCAGCAAAGTGCAGGCAGGATGATCCCCCTATTTTGCTGGTAGGAGTGTGGCTGCCATGCATGGGGGAAGAGGAAGGGGTGATGTCCCTGGAGAAGTCTCAGTCAAGGGCTTAATTTTCATGGAAAGGGTGCAGCAAAGTGGGTCATGGGAAGAGTGGGAAGGTGTTCCAACTCCATGGTGGTCCCATCAATACCCACCACCCTTATCCCTCTTCTGCCCACAGAATGCTGTTTCCTCTGCCAACAGGAAGATAACTAAAAAGGTCGTAAAACAATACGAACAATTTATGCAGAAGCAGGTATGTTTGCCATGTCTGTGGGCTGGAATTGAGGGAAACATTCAGGGCTGCGATGGCAGGGGTCCATGATCTTGGAGTAGGGAACATCATCTGTGTAGGAGGTGTTGGCGTGCAGGGTTAGGAGGTAGCCTCGGTCGGGAGCGAAAGGGAGGGGAAGAGCTGGGTTTCTAAAGAGGCTTATAGATTACCCCCTTGACCCCAGATTCCTGTCCTGAGTGATGGCTCCTGTGCTCTCTCTTTCTCTGTCTGTGCATCTGTCAATGCCATCTTGACTTGGCCAATCAGCCGCCGGCCCAGAGCCTGATGGTGACACCCTATGACATGCAGCAAGGCCTGGAGAAGAAACGCCAAAAACTGTTGCATGACTGCCGAGGGAAGCTGTGCGGAGATAAGGCCAACCAACGGTCTGAACTGGAAAACCTGACACAGGAGTTGTTGAGGAAGGAGGAGGTCTTTATGGATGCCTACCGGAACGTATACAAGGTCTGGCTGGTTTGCTACCCCATGGCCTCTGTGGCAGTGGCCCTGAGGGAAGGAGTGGCAGGCCCCAGGGAGCAGAGGGTCTATAGGCATCAAGGCAGGGATGAGGACAGGAACATGGGGAGAAGTGGTGCTAATTTGGATGCTTTACATTTTCTTTTGTGTAGAGTCAGAGGTTCTGGCTGGGGAAGAACAACTCTGCTGGGTGATGGGGAGAGAAATGTGGGTCAACGGCACCATGAGAAAAGATGTATTGCAAAGCCATTGTGTCTCTGACCAGAACAGTTTACCTGGCAGTACGTAGCCTGGGAGAAGTCAGTCAATGAGGAGCAACTGGACAGTCCTAGTCAGCCTCTAACTACGCCTGTTTTCTACCACAGCCACTTCTACCGTGCGGTAGCATCGCCGTCACGGTTCAGACCCGGCAAGGCTACACCATCACAGCACAGGCTACAGAGTAGTAGCTCATTGCTACTGCACCATAGCATCTCGTGTAGACGCTCCCACTGGGTGTTAGCTACAGCCAAGGCTGGGAGCTTGACTGGGCTGTGGTGATTCTCCTGCTAGGAGCAACGCCAGAGGTCCTTGGCTAGAGGGTCTTGCCCTCCACTCAGGGGGCAGATTGCTAGACGGTCGTCTCGCGTAGAGTTAGATTATGGTTGTATGGGATGGTTTGGATAGGGATGGTCCTTTCTCAGGCAGGGGGTTGGATGAGATGACCTCTGGAGGTCCCTTCCAGCCCTACTTCTCTATGACTCTGAGGGGCTGGAAAGCCAGCCCCATTCATCAGATGTCTCTGGGACAACAACGCTGGATCCCTTATGTTTAACATCCAGATGTGTCCCTTGTTTTTTGTTCCTTGAATGGATGCATAGAGGGCTGGATGGATACATGGAGAGGTATGTATAGGCTGGCAGGGCTCACTCAATATCGTCCACTTCTGTATCACCCCTCCTAGCTCGCCGTCTGCACAGATAGGATAAAAGGTGGGAAAGAAGAAAGTGTGTGGCTGGTTTTATGAACCCTAAAGCCTTGTTCTCAGATCAAAAGAAAAGCTCAAGAGGACCAGGGAGGGTCACCCCTGTGTCTCCCACATCTCCCGTTGTCCTTCCCCAGAAGACAAAGGGATTCAAGAGAAGACCAGGAAAAACCCGAGCCCCTCCACTTGGCTGGTGGGAGTGTGGCTGCTATGTGTGGGGGAGGGAAAGGGCAAGAGAGGAGACTGGTCATAGAGGACATACATAACACTGGGGGGTCCCTGGAGAGGTATCAGCCAAAGACTTAGTTTTCATGGAGGGGGTGGGGGAATTATTTTGCTGGGGGGGAGGGGGAGATGGGAGGTGGTCCCAGGAGCACCCAACATCCTCAGCCCCTCTTCTGCCCACAGAGGGCTGTCTTCTCTGCCAACGGGAAGATAATTGAAAAGGCGAAGAGAGAATATGAACACTTTCTACAGGAGCAGGTACGTCTGGCACGTCTGTGGGTTGGACTTGCAGGATACATTCGGGGCTGGGGATAGCCCCTGGCTTGGACAGCAGGGTCCATGGTTTTGGAGTGAGGAACACCATCCATGTGGGAGAGCCTAAGGCTAGGGGGCAGAGCCCTGCTGATTGGTAGTGAAAGTTTGTTTTTCTGACCACCGCAACTCTGCCCTTGCTTACGACCCATCCTAATTTCTCTCCTTTCCCGGCATATCCATTAGTTACAAGACATTACGTCCAAATTCAGTATCTTCTTGTGGTCAGTCAAGAAAAACCAGGAGCTTGGGGAGAAGAAACGCCAGGAGTTGCTGCACAGCTACTTGGAGCAGCTGCAGGGTGAGGAGCGGGAGAAAAATGCCTCCACAGAGAAGCTAAAGCAAAAGCTGGCAGAGAAAGAGAGGAACTTCAGAAGAAAATGTAATGAACTATTGCAGAATGCCAAAAACACGCGTGCTACAGTGGTGTTAGGCACCATGGGAGTGGGAGTGGCAGGAGGGGCCATTGTGGCACTCATCCTTAGTCCTGCACTTATGTTCAAAGCTGCAGTTTCTGTGCTTTGATTGGTCACGAAATAAAGAATACAGCAAGATTTGCAGCCATTCTATGCACACACAATTGTGATCGGCAGGGATATTCAGATATGGAGCACCTATTCTCCCAGCAACAGATAATAAGTGAACCCCCCTGTCCCTGCAAGTCCAGAAAAAGGCTTTTAGTAGCCCTGGAAATGAGGGACTTCCTAGATAGAAGTCTGGGTAGAGAGAGAGGTCTCGGGGGGTGTAGATTTTGGCTAAGTAATGCACACTGGGACCATGGGGGCCTTATCAAATCCTTGTAAAGCCATTTCACATACGCACCAAATGATTCAGGAGCTCTCTGCTTTTCTGGTCTCTAGTTCTATCCCCTTGCCTAACCTGGGATGGGGCACTTACTAAACTGTTGTCACATGTTTATCCAATCCCTCTTACCTTACTAATGACTGACTGCGGTAACAGGGAACTTGTGCAGAAGTCACCTGAGTTTGCTCCATTCCAGTGATCCACCTTGCCCCAGCCCAGGCCATTCAAAGCATCCAGAAGCTCTGTGATACTGCTTCCCGACCCCCTCCCTCTGGTGCTGACAGCCCCATAGCTTGGAGGGGGGGAGGGGCTGGGAAGAGGGGTGATTTGGAGGCTGCTGGAGCACCTTCGCCTGATGGCCAGAGCTGGTGCAGGAAGGCTCCAGCCCCCGGCAGCCCAACAAGTGAACATCTTGGGTTGACATGGGGAGGGCGGCTCTAACTCATGGCACTTTAATGAAAGCACCATGAGTTAGAGCAGGGCCCTGAACCTGTAGGCACCCACAATGTCAGAGGTGGGAAAAATTTTAAAAAGCATAAGAAAGACAGGTAAAAAAATAAGGTAAATGTTATTTAAATGTTTTATAGCTGTTACATCTGGTTTAGGACAAGATATTGCTGGGAAAGGCATATTAATCCTAAATAGATTAGAACCTATTTTTATCTCCTATTGGGAACATTTTTAATAGCCTTATTTAGTAAGCTTTGTGATATTAAACCAGGCAATAGGGTAATAAAAACCCGAGTTCACCTCACAATCTTCACTCTTCAGACCTGACCTGTGGTTCTTGCTGAACAGCCCATCTGCAGATGCTAAGTGCTGTTTTAAAACGTAATTTGAAACCTATGGAAAAAGTCTTTTTTCCTGAATATGCTGGCCACATATTGGAGACTTTTTCAAACTGTAGGACTGAAAAGTCTCCCAACTGTTAATAAGATTGTTATTTCTTTAGAAGAATATGCGTTTTTATACATTACAATCATTTGTTTGATGTGCCTGATCTGTACCATTTGGTCATTTAGATCTTATCTGTATTTCATTATGAAATTTGACATTAAAATCTACTTTCGTTTATATTTGTGGCTATTACATTTTGGTGGGATGGTCTGGATAACACTGATTCTGCCTTAAGCAGGGGTTGGCCTGGATGTGACCTCCAGAGGTCCCTTCCAGCCAGACTTTGCCATGAGTCTGCGACTGATCCCTGTGCGTGACCCTGCTGTTAAAATATATGCTGACCCTAGACTGTAAGGCTAGAAGGGAGCTTGGAAGATCATCTGACCCAGCCCCCTGCACCAAGCAGGAAGGACTACGGGAGGGTGGGGTGACCCAAAATATTCACCTGTCACTCCAGCATTGGCTGGGAATTGGACCCAGGTCTCCTGCATGGCAAGCAGGAATTCTGCCATTGAACCACCAATGCTTCGCATGTGACCATCTTTAGCATCTTTTTCTCAAAGTCGAATTGGAACAGTGCCATTTTGCAGAGCCCTTGTACAGACCCTGCTGTGTCTGCTGTTTAGTGAAATAAAGCCCCTTTGTTGGTTTAATTTATGACATTTTTGCAAGAAGTTTAAGTGACACTAGGACAGGACAGGACAGGACAGAAAAGCTACTTTTAGGCTGTGTCTACACATGCATTTAAGTGCACCTAAATTTAATGTGCATTAGCTTAATGTGCATTAAATGAGTTTAAGCAGGCGTCTACATGTGCAGACATTAAAGCTCATTAATGCTGTGTGTGGATTGATTTAGGACTAAAGTTAATCCCAAATCAGTCCATACACATGGTGTTAATGCACTTTAACACATCTATAAACTCATTAATGCATTTTAACTATTCACGCCTAAATTTGATACCTGCATTTACAGGTATCAAATTTAGGTGTGAATAGCCTAAATTAGCCATTTTTAATGCACATGAAGGGCGCACACATGCAAATGTGCACCCTTAATGCACTTTAATTTGGGCGAAAGCATATTCAAGCGTCATGTGTAGACGTGCCCTCATTCTGGAATAAGAGTATCCACATGGCGAGTTATGCCAGTATAACTGGCAGTCAGAAGGTTTCTCAAGTAGACAAGAAGCAAGCTAGGGACCTGGTCAGGGCGACGTGGAAGCTGAGCTAATACACACCAGGAGGGCAAGCCAAAAGCTGTCAGGAAGTGTAACGTGTTTCAAATTGATGTTCGTTGTCTCAGAGAGGTGAGGAACATGTCCTGACATGTAGTGTGTGCTGCACAGGTAGTGATTGAGATCAGCACCTCCTCAGGGAACAGAGAGCAGGCTGGGCAGGTCCAGCAAGAAAGGAGGCTGCCTGGGGCACGGGTTGGGGCAGATGATTTCCCAAAAGCCCTGCCAATCTGATTTCTCTATGGTGCTCTTGCAGAATTACAGAAACATAGAGAAGTCAGGCTGGAAGGGACCTCTGGAGATCACATCTCATCCAACCCCATGCCAGAGGCAGGATCCTTAGCCAAACCATCCCAGACAAGTGATTGTCTAACCTATTACTAATGTAGCAGGCTTACCTTTCAAAGCTGGGGTTGAGTCCCAGGCTGGAGATCCTGCTGTTTTGATTGGTGGAAGCCATCCACCAATCAGGAGGCAGCAAGGGAAATAATGTTATGCCCCTTTCCTGAGGGGAGGGGGAGAGGAGCTCTTCCGGACCTGATTGAAGACTGCAAACTGGCAGGTCCGGAAGAGCTCGGAGGCGGAGCCCCGGAGAGTATAAAAGAAGCTTGTGTGCCTAGCACGAGGGAGATGTGTGGGGACTGAGAAGAGAGAAGAGCAGGGCTTAGGAGAGCGGAGGAGAGCTGCTCAGCAAGGCGAAGCAGTAGCCCAGGAAGAGCCCCTGAAGACTTCGATCAGCAGGGAGCAGGGGATGGCTCCAGCGGTTAGGCTCTCAGTGCACAGCACCATGCATGGCATCCAGACCCTGGGAGCTGTGTGAGGCAGCTCGGGTCTGCAACCTCTGGCGTGCAGCCAGAGCCATGGTGCACAAGCCAGTGCATGGAGCAGGATCTTTGGAGCCCCTGGGGCGGCTCAGGTCCTCAACCCCCAGAACTAGGCTGGGACCTCAGTGCAGGAGGCGTTGCACGGAGGGTGAGACGCTGGGAGCCACTTGAGGTGGCTCAGGTCTACAGCTGCTAACACGGGGCAGCAACTCAGTGCAGACAATGCTGCCCAAAGGGTCCGGGAACAGACTGAGCCCCAGTGCTGCACAAGGCTGTCCAGGTCTCCAACCTCTAGCACAAGGCGAAGCGCCCACTACACACAGCGGTGCATGTGGCCCTAAGCCAGGATGGCGGCAGGAAAACCCGGTGGGCAACAGAGCCTGACCTGGAGAACAAGAGGCAACCCTCCAGGACTGTGGAATAGTAAGTTACCCTGGAGAGAGGGTCCCCACAGGGGAGGGACCCCCCGAGGGTTGCAAAGGGGCACCACATGGGCTGCTCCTGGGTGATAGCGGGAGAGCTTAGGAGTCTTTGGGGTCTTCCTCTCCTTTTTTCTTTCCCCCCACCTCCTTTCCTGTAGTGATACCTTGGGAGTGGGGCCCCTGCCCTGGAGGGCACCCAGGTAGTCTAAGGACTGCTGATTATATTTGTGGACTGTGCCTTCCAGTTTATGTGAACAGTTTGAAGTAATAGTCTGTATATGAATGGAGTTATAAGGTTGCCCAATCAATATCCTTTGGTCTGGTTTGTTCTATTGTTCATCTGTAGTTTAAATGATAACTGGTGTGTATATATCTGTGTAGGTATATATTATAGGGCTCCACATCCAAATGAAAGCTGGATAGAAACCAGCCATAGAGTTGTTCCACATTTTCAAGCACTAACTTCAGAAGTAGATGCCCTTTGTTTTCGTGTGATAACTACTTTGCACATGTGCCTGGTGTAAATCCATTGTACCACTTCCCAGTTCATGGCATAATATATGTAGTGTAGCAAGGACCCTTGAGTAGCCTGCCAGTGCTGCTACTTGAAAAGCAAGCGCAGCCAGACCCAGCAACTGGGACCAGATGGGGTAGTTAGACCGCTGTCAGCTAGGCCTAACTTTACAGCAAGACAGTGGGCACACTACACAAGATGCTTGCTGCGCAGTAGCGTGCCAGTCAAAAACCATGCTAACACACTCCCGCGCAGCGTTATTAGGCTACTGTGTAGTAAGCGTCACAAAACTGCGCTGGCACTATTGAGCAGTAACTGTAGTTACCGCACATTTAGTTAGTATTACATCAGGCAAGTACTTAACTAAATGCGCAGTAACTAAGGGGCATTAAGGAACATGTAGATGTGCCCGGTGATTCCTACCCTGGCACTGGCCTTTCTCCAGCAGTAACACCCCCCATATCACCCCTTGCCGCTGCCAATCCCACGGCAGCGCTTTCCCTGTAATACCTTTAGGCATGGGTGTGTAAGATGCCCAGAAAGTGAGGGACCAACAAGCTGCGCAATTTTCTCCCATGCTCATCCTCATGGATGCATCAGGGCTGCTCCCCACCTGGTGTTAGGCAGCCTCAGCTAGGTCAGGTCCTACATGAGGGCTTCACAGTCCCAGACAATGACTGCCTGCACCGTCCCTTTACCGAATCATTCATGAACGCATTGAAGAGGCAAGCAAGAAACCCTGGGCTTCACCGAGATTGAGAGCCAAGCTCACTTGCCTTCCAAGGCGCCAAAACTGTACCCTGAAACCTTCCACCCCTCACCCATGGTTGGCCTAAACACTCATTTTAATCTCCTGTGTTTCTGGGAGATGTCTTCCCAAACCACACTTCACCGCATCCCTCCATGCCTTCTCCAAAACCCGTCCCAAGGGACGTCTGCTTGAACGTACGCACAGACGATGCCCACAGCTTCTCCTTTATCCGCTAGTTTATTGACACGCTCAAAAGAACTCTAATAGATTAGTGAGGCACGAGTTTCCTTTGCGGGAGCCGTGCTGGTTAGACCCTAGCATATATCGTCTTCTTCTAGATGTTTGGTAACTCTATATTTCCATCATCGTTGCAACCAGGTGTGTCAGCTCCGGAGAGACGGAGCTCCCTGGTCCGTGGTTCTGGGATTAACCCTAACGCCTTTGGTAAAATTAGTCAGTCACAAAGCTGCGAGACACGCACATCCAAACAGAGGCTCTTCGGCCATAACATTCGGCATCTGTGTCGGGATCTCCCGCTGCGGAGCAAAAAAGCTCTTTGCTCTTTTCTGAGAAGGAAATGGATGGGAGGTTGCAGGAGAGAACCGCGGTGTCCGGGCTGCTGGTTTCCCATCTAACCCCCAAAGCTGCTGCCTAGACAAACCTTTTGAAAAGGAACAAACGTTCCTCGGGAGCTACGCTGGCTGACAGCGAGGCTTTTGGTGTGCATCTTTCTGAGGGCTGAAGGAACAAAGCTCATTGCCTGGCTTGCTCCCCCAGGCCAGCTCATTCACCTCATTTCTGGGATCCCGTCCAACTGAGGGGTGACTCATGATGATGGCACATGAGTGACGGGAGTACTTCCAAGCCTGAGATGGCTGGGCCAGCTGGAGTGCACACAGAGACCTACCAGCCCGAGATGGTGTCCAGTACTGATGTTGTCAGGGAAAGAAGGACACCCATCTGCTTCTCCTAGCACAAAACAGAGATAGTTAGAAAGTGGCTTAAACTCAGGAGCGTGGGGCTTCTGCGTCCCTGTTCACCCTCCCCTTCTTTGCTAGCAAAACTGGATAGTCTTGTTCTGCGCTCCCCTACTCAGGCCCTCTGAGTCTGGCCCAGTCCCCTGCCTCAGCACCATCCTGCAGCAGTGAATCCAACAGTCCAACCCCATGTCAGACCAAACAGCCCTAAGGAATCGGTGAAGGATGGGACCCCTGGTTAACTAGAGGGCCTTGGGGCCAGCAGCAAGAGCTGAGAGACCTGCAGGGGGAAGGAACAGTGTAAGGAGGCAATGCACCAAGTTCAGGACCTTGATGGGTTTGCAAAATATACCCTGAATATCTAATGTGTGCAGCTGCCCCACCCCACCCTGTGTCTCCTGGAACGACACAGGGGCAAACTCCCA